TCTTTGGCTCTCTCCTCAGCGATTTCCAAGTCACGCCTCCGTTTCCGATCATTGGCTTCGGCATCAGACATCCGAGCGTCGGCCATTGTGCAAATAGAGAGCACTGAAAGCAACACTGAATGAAGCACTGAATGCAACACTGGATGAAGCACTGAATGAAGCACTGAATGCAACACTGAATGCAGAACAGTGAGCTCACTGAATGAAACACTGAATGAAGCACTGAATGAATAGACGCAATGAGACAGCACAGAACAGACAGTGTGTGCACGATCCGGAGCACTCGATGATGCAGAATACCGCAGCAGAAAGGGATAGCATGCCGACACGTGTAGAGAGAGCTTCTGGAGGAATTTCTCGAAAAATTGAACATTCATTTTTTCCTTTCGACATGAAGTTGGTTCCGGCAAGTGCTTTGATAGTAAATGTGCGCCTACAGAGCTCATATTAAGACGCAGAGGCTCTCATAGTCATTTACAGGTGGGAAAAATCTGCTTTCTCCAAATGAATTGTCAAACATCTTTCAAATCTTAGCAAAATCCACCCAAAGTTGTCACATTGTCTCTTTTCGTGGGGTCGACCAACTGGCGCCGGCGGTGAACCGTCAACCTAGTCACCGCCGGGAACCTCGTAGAGCTCCTTACACTGGTGAGAATGCTCAAAATCGAAGTAGAGACCAAAAATAGCGATGTTTCGAAAATCTTCATTTTCGTTTTTTTCGATTTTCATATTCGCTGAGTTCCCGGAAGTCAACTCGTAAGAAAATGCATCGGGAGAGCTGAGCTCCTGTCAGAGAGGAGTTTCTATGCCAATGCGACGCGCAAACATCTGCTTTCTCAAAATAGATGGTTGAATATCTTTCACATTTTCGCAAAATCAACCAAAAGTCACCAACTGGGCGCCGGCGGTAAACCGTCAACCTTGCTTACCGCCGGGGGACTCGTAGAGCTTCCTGATAATATATCATGTGGAAAAAATTTGCAGAGAACAAATAGTTTTTCAGCCAAACGATTTCAGACCTCTCGATGCAACAGCCGAACGCCCCCGATGCTTCTGGATTGTCTTCTTTACGAGCTCTGTAGCTCTCCAACAGCCCGAGTTATGTGCGTAAATCGACAGCACCTCTCAAGATGACTCTAACAAAACGAATAGTTCAGCAACCCAGCTCGAGTATCAAACCGAGCTCAGACCTCTGAATGCGACAGGCGGACGCGTCTGATGTCTGCGAATCGACTCCTGCGATTACCAGCCCTGCAGCCCCCCTACAGGCCGAGTTAAGTGCAGAAAACCGACAGCACCTCTCAGGATCACTCGAAGAATAGAATAGTTGTGCGGACCTAGTTCGGGGAGCAGACCGAGTTCCGAGCTCTGGATTCGACAGACCGACGTGCCTGTTTCTTCAAATCGATTTCTGTACCACCAGCACTGTAGCTCCCCTCAGCCCGAGCTGAGTGCAGAAAACCCAGAGCACTTCTCGAGACGACCCGAACAATACGAATAGTTTCGCGATTCTAGATCGGGCAGCAGACCGGGTTCAGAGCTTTGGATTCACCAGACAAATGCGACTAATGATTCTGAATCGGTCTCCGTAAGTATCAGCTCTGTAGCTGTCCTATAGCTCGAGTTAAATACAGAAAACCGAGAGTGTCTGCCAAGATGACTCGAGTAATACGAACAGTTTTGCGGACCTAGCTCGGCTAGCAGACCGAGTTCAGACCTCTGGATTCAACAGGCGAACGCGCCTGATCATTCTGAATCGATTAGCTGTGCTCACCAGCTCTGTAGCTGTTCTAAAGCTCGATGTATGTTCAGAAAACTGTCATCGCGTGTCAAGATGACCCGAAACGGCCGATCCCGCCTGCCTGCTTTCTGGCAGTAAAAGGTACCCGATCGAGCTGAGATCAAGACGGCGAGCAAGACTGGCGCCGGCGGTGAACCGTCAACCTGGTCACCGCCGGGGACCTCGTAGAGCTCCTTGCACGCGTAAGAGTGCTTAGATTTAAACCAAAGAGCTCATTGGAGGATTTCTAGAAAAATGTAGAATTTTCACTTTCGGTTGTCAACTTCATGTCGGTTCCTCCTAATTTTCCGATAGTAAAACTGGCCCTAGAGAGCTGAGCTGCTCTGGGAACAAATTTTATATTCCAATGCTCGGCGTAAAAAAACTGCTTCCTCAAAATGAATGGTCAAGTATCTTTCGAATTTTTGCAAAACCGATCCAAAGTTGCACATTGTCTCTTTTGGTCGGGTCGACCAACTAGCTCCACCCCGCGCCGGAATTCCTCTAGCTTATCGACGCCGAAGAGCTCTACGAGGTAAGATCGAATATCACGGGAAAAAATACTAGAGCACAAACGACTTGTTGAATTTCGAGAATTAAAATTTTCAACCGACCAAAAGTCACCAAGTGGTCCGTCGAGATTTTTCTTGCCAACTAGCTCTCCAGCGCCCCGGAATTACTCTTAAGCTTCCAGCAATAACTTGCTAAGGGAAGCTCTACGAATTATTTGTCCGCCCCGGCCGGGTGGGCCAACTGGGCGCCGGCGGTAAACCGTCAACCTTTCTTACCGCCGGGGGACTCGTAGAGCTTCCTGACAATATATAATGTGGAAAAAATTGCAGAGAACGAATAGTTTTTCAGCCCAAGCGATTTCAGACCTCTCGATGCAATAGCCGAACGCCCCCGATGCTTCTGGATTGTCTTCTGCACGAGCTCTGTAGCTCTCCTACAGCCCGAGTTACGTGCGTAAATCGACAGCACCTCTCAAGATGACTCTAACAGAACGAATAGTTTGGCAACCCAGCGCGAGTATCAAACCGAGTTCAGACCTCTGAATGCGACAGGCGGACGCATCTGATGTCTGCGAATCGACTCCTGTGATTACCAGCCCTGCAGCCCCCCTACAACCCGAGTTAAGTGCAGAAAACCGACAGCACCTCTCAGGATGACTCGAACAATACAATAGTTTCGCGAGCCTCGTTCGGGCAGTAGACCGAGTTCCGAGCTCTGGATTCGACAGGCGGCCGCGCCTGATGTCTTCAAATCGATTCTTGTCACCACCAGCACTGTAGCCCCCTCAGCCCGAGTTGAGTGCAGAAGACCAAGACCACTTCTCAAGATGACTCGAACAATACGAATGGTTTCGCGATTCTAGATCGGGCAGCAGACTGATTTCAGAGCTCTGGATTCAACAGACACCTGCGACTGATGATTCTGAATCAGTTTCTGTAGCTATCAGCTCTGTAGCTGTCCTGTAGCTCGAGTTAAGTACAGAAAATCGAGAGCGTCTGTCAAGATGACTCGAATCATACGAATACGTTTGCGGACCTAGCTCGGCTAGCAGACCGACTTCAGACCTCTCGATTCAACAGCCGAACGCGCCTGATCATTCTGAATCGATTAGCTGTGCTTACCAGCTCTGTAGTAGTCCTAAAGCTCGAGTTATGTTCAGAAAACCGTCATCGCGTGTCAAGATGACTTGAAACGGTCGATCCCGCCTGCCTGCTTTTTGACAGTAAAAGGTACGATCGAGCTGAGATCAAGATGGCGAGCGGGAATAAGATCGAATATCATGAGAAAAATACTAGAGCTCAAACGAATTGTTGAATCTCGAGAACAAAATTTTTCAACCGACCAAAAATCACCAAAAGGTCAGTCGAGATTTTTCTTGCCAACTGGGCGCCGGCGGTAAACCGTCAACCTTTCTTACAGCCGGGGGACTCGTAGAGCTTCCTGACAGATATAACGCCGAAGAAAAATTACAGAGAATGAATAGTTGTTCAGCCCAAACGATTTCAGACCTCTCGATGCAACAGCGGAACGCCCCCGATGCTTCTGCTCTCCTAGAGCCCGAGTTACGTGCGTAATTCGACAGCGCCTCTCAAGATAACTCGAAGAATACGAATAGATTGGCAAACCCAGCTCCAGTATCAGACCGAGTTCAGATGAATGCGACAGGCGAACTCGTCTGATGTCTGCGAATCGACACCTGTGGCTACCAGCCCTGCAGCCCCCCAAAAGCCAGAGTTAAGTGCAAAAAAACGACAGCACCTCTCAGGATGACTCGAACAATACGAATAGCTCCGCGGACCTAGTTCAGGCAACAGACCGAGTTCCAAGCTCTGGATTTGACAGACCGACGCGCCGAATGTTTCCAAATCGATTCCTGACTACCAGCACTGTAGCCGCCCTACATCCCGAGTTAAGTACAGAAAACCGACAGCACCTCTCAAGATGACTCGAACAACACGAACAGTTTTGTGATTCTATATCGGGCAGCAAACCGAGTTAAGAGCTCTGGATGGAACAGTCGCATCAGCTCTGTAGCTGTCACATAGCTCGAGTTAAGCACAGAAAACCGAGAGCGCCTGTCAAGATGACTCGAATAATACCAATAGCTTTACGGACCTAGCTCGGCTAGCAGATCGAATTCAGACCTCTGGATGCAACAGACGAACGCGCCTCGTCATTCTCAACCGATGAGGTGTGCTCACCAGCTCTGTAGCTTTCCTCTATCTCGAGTTAAGTCCGATATACGGAGAGCGCGTATCAAGATGACTCGAGACGACCGATCCCGCCAGTGTGCTTTCGGGCAGTAAAAGATACCCGATCGAGCTGAGGTCAAGATGGCGAGCGAGAATAAGATCGAATATCACGGAAAAAATACGAGAGCGCAAACGAATTGAGGAAGTTCGAGAACAAAATTATCAACCCACCAAAAGTCATCAAAAGGTCCGTCGAGATTTTTCTTGCCAACTAGCTGTCCAGCGCCCCGGAACTGGAACCGGCGATAAACCGTCAACCTGGTTTTGTTTGTTTGTTTGCGCTCCTGTGCACCAGCTGTAAAGCAGCTGGAGGAGAACGAGTCCCGAAGCAGCGAACGCAGCGAACGGGCAACGCACAAAGCGTTCAGGCGGCACACCTACACAGTGAACCTCCTTTGAAGGTCAGGCAACGTTTCAACGATCGGAGTTAAGGGGAAAGCAGAGCAGAAAGAAGATTACGAGTAGCCTACTACACAATACTCATGTGGCGCAGGATAAAAGTAAAAGGCACACATCTCATCATAAGTCCAGCCGTATGGATGCCAGTCGAAATCCATAAGCTCCGATGGTGCAGGCATATGGCACAGGTCCATGTACGACCACTCCAGTTCTTCAAATCTCGCACTGGACATTTGCGGATTCCGCACCGCCTCCTCGACTGAGACAGCATTGTGCAGCATACCGAGCAGGGGAAGGACGTCGGCGAGTCGCATATGTAGTAACTTCGTACCGCAAATGACGTCCCCCATAGCGACATACGTGCGCACGACCACTGTGAAAGGGTCGAAGAACTTCGCACATCCCAAGTCAACATACAGTGGGTGCCGTTGGACCTCTGGGGACGCCGCAAGAATGGAGCCCACCTCGGACTTGCTGACCCTGCGGATACACTTGAACTCATTCTCAGCGCCCATAAGGAGAAAACCCTCCAACGGCGTCCCAAGAGACTCACTCAGACCAGCATAACCCGCATACCCGCTCTCTGGGTGGAGGACGTCCTGGAGATTCTCGCCACTCGCAGCCTCCCTCCAAGCACCAACAATGAAACATATAGGCACCCAAGTATCGTGTACATCATCCGCGCAGCACGTCACCAGTTCCCGCGGCGCAGGGAACTCAATATCATAAGTGGGAACACAGCGCTGGATCAATATCATAAGTGGGAACACAGCCTGGATTCAATACAACATTGAGCGTGACATCGGAATCTGCCTGCACTTTGGGCGTCGAAGAAAACTCTGCACTCGAAAGAGGTACCGCGGGAAGCAACGAGTGAGCCCTTACATCAGCCAAAGAAGCACTCTGCGCACAGCCAGGGTTCGATACCACAGCGAGCGTGACATCGGATACTGCCTCCAACTCCTCCTCCGCCTCCTCCGTCACTTTCCCAAGAACAGTTCCTGAAGCTTCTCCCTCCATCCCAAAAACACTCTCTGTCTGACAGCCGACTTCAAAGGGCTCCAGAGGATAAGATGAAAGAAGTGCATACACGTCCGAAGAAGATGAGACCACTGCCTTCACATCAGAAGAAGATGAGACCACTGCCTTCACATCAGAAGAAGAAGATGAAAGAACTGCATACATGTCAGAAGAAGATGAGACCACTGCCTGCACATCCTCGCAAGTGAACTGAGTTTGCACGCCGGCACCCATTGAAGAAACTGGAATGCTTTGAGAATTCACTTGGACCTCAGCATCCATTGAAGACACTCGAATGCTTGGAAAGGGGGAATGCACTTCGTCAACCTGGACACCAGCATCAATTGAAAATACTCGAATGCTTTGAGAAGGATGTTCGACCTCGTCAACCTGGACCCCAGCATCAATAGCAGAAGAAAAACCGCGAAGTGCAACGGAATCAACTATCGGGCAGCTATCAGAGGGATGGAGTAATGCTGTCAACAACTCATTCGCCTGAGCATCCAACTCTGCATGCAAGACCGTGTCGCGGGCGACTAGGCCTTCGAGCACCAACGGAAGAGGACAATTCGGTCGAACCCATTTAAGTTGACAAGCCCGAGCCCGACGCAAACACCTGGATGCGAGACTCCGCACATGAGGCATCTGGCACAAACAAAACCACAAATGATAGGTATATGGCAGAAAACTGAAGGGAGATGTGTGAGGACACCTGAGAGATCACAACAATGATATACTGCAAATTGAACAATATGCAATCCACTCAAGGCAGATCTGAAAGAACCGAGACTTACGAGCACCACTCTGGGCAGTGAGGAACAAGTCAGCGTATACAAATTGCCGCCGCCGAACCGCAACGAGAAATGAATATGAGAGGCCAACAATGACAAGCAAGATGTACAGGGAGATGGGCAGTTGCGTAAGCAGAGCAAAACAACACGCTAGCTCAACGTTCACCTTCGCGGAGGTTCCCCAGGCAGGAGAAAATGAACGTAGCGGAGCGGAGCCTTGAGCCTTGAGAGCTTGAGCCGCCGGGAACCTCGTAGAACCTCGTAGAACCTGGTTACCGCCGGGAACCTCGTAGAGCTCTTTTCTTGCACGGCGATCGTCGAAACACATGGAGAAAGCTTCTGGAGCGAGCAACAAAAAACTCGAAAAATCACGTTTTCCTGTTTTTATTAAACGTCGGTTCCCCCAAGTGTTTCGATAGTAATACTGCACCGATAGACCTGAAAATTTTACTGGCAGACGCGGCATTACCGACTACAGGTGCCAAAAAAACTGCTTTCTTAAAATAAATGATCAAATATATTTGAAATATTCGCAAAACCAACCGAAAGTTAACACTTTATCCTTTCTGGCCGGATCGATCACTTGGTAGCGTCCAAAACCCGGAGAGCGAGGAGACCCTTCGGGACGGGAAATCTTTTCTCGGGGGCTCTCTGGGGTTCCCTGACGCGCTTCGAAAGCACTGCCAGGCCCACCCCCATGCGTGCCTGCACGCGTGCAGGCAAGCGTGGACGCGTGCCTTCCTGAAATGCTCTGTCAAACTGGGCGCCGGCGGTAAACCGTCAACCTTTGTTACCGCCGGGGGACTCGTAGAGCTTCCTGACAACATGTAATGTCAAAAAAAATGCACCGAAAAAATATTTTTTCAGCCCAAGCAATTTCAGACCTCTCGGATGCAACAGCCGAACGCCCCCGATGCTTCTGGATTGTCTTCTGTACGAGCTCTGTAGCTCTCCTACAGCCCGAGTTACGTGCGTAAATCGACAGCACCTCTCAAGATAACTCGAACAATACAAATAGTTTGGCAAACCTACGAGTATCCGACCGAGTTCAGACCTCTGCATACGCGTCTGATGTCTCTGAAACGATTCCTGTGATTACCAGCCCTGCAGCCCCCCCTACAGCCCGAGCTAAGTGCAGGAAACCCACAGCACCTCTCAGGATGACTCGAACAATACGAATAGTTTCGCGGACCTAGTTCGGGCAGCCAGGAGTTCGGAACTCTGGATTCGACAGGCGGACGCGCCTGATGTCTCCGAATCGATTTTCAGTGATTACCAGCTAAGCAGCCCCCCTACGGCCCGAGTTAAGTGCAGAGAACCGACAGCATCCCTCAAGATGACTCGAACAATACGAATAGTTTCGCGATTCTAGATCGGGCAGCAGACCGAGTTCAGAGCTCTGGATTCAACAGACAACGGCCACTGATGATTCTGAATCAGATTCTGTACGTATCAGCTCTGTAGCTGTCATGTAGCTCGAGTAAAGTAAAGAGAACTGAGAGCGTCTGTCAAGATGACTCGAATAATACGAATAGGTTTGCGGACCTAGCTCGGCGAGCAGACCGAGTTCAGACCTCTTGGTTCAACAGGCGAACGCGCCTGATCATTCTGAATCGATTAGCTGTCCTTACCAGCTCTGTAGCTGTCCTGAAGCTCGAGTTAACTCGAAGAGACCGACAGCGCGTGACAAGATGACTCGAAACGGTCGATCCCGCCCGTGTGCTTTTTGGCAGTAAAAGGTACCCGATCGAGCCCAGATCGAGATGGCGAGCGGGAATAGAATCGAATATCACGGGAAGAATACTAGAGCTCAAACGAATTGAGGAACGTCGAGAACAAAATTTTCAACCGACCAAAAGTCACCAAAAGGTCCGTCGAGATTTTTCTTGCCAACTAGCTCTCCAGCGCCCCGGAACTGGAACCGGCGGTAAACCGTCAACCAGGTTACCGCCGGGGTCCTCGTAGAGATCTTTTCTCGTACAGCGCTCCTCGGTACATATGCATGAAGACTGGGCGCCGGCGGTAAACCGTCAACCTTTGTTACCGCCGGGGGACTCGTAGAGCTTCCTGACAATATATAATGTGGAAACAAATTGCAGAGAACAAATACTTTTTCAGCCCAAGCGATTTCAGACCCCTCGATGCAACAGCCGAACGCCTCCCGATGCTTCTGGAGTGTCTTCTTTACGAGCTCTGTAGCTCTCCTACAGCCCGAGTTACGTGCGTGAATCGACAGCACCTCTCAAGATCACTCGAACAAAACGAATAGTTTGGCAAACCCAGCTCGAGTATCAGACCGAGTTCGGACCCCTGGATGCGACAGGCGGACGCGTCTGATGTCTCCGAATCGATTTCAATGATTACCCGCCAGCCCCCCTACAGCCCGAGTGGAGTGCAGAAAGCCGACAGCATTTTTCAGGATGACTCGAACAATACGAACAGTTTCGCGGACCGAGTTCGATCAGCGGACCGAGTTTCCAGCTCTGGATTCCACAGGCGGACGCGCCTGATGTCTCCAAATCGATTGCTGTCACCACCAGCACTGTAGCCCCCCCCTACAGCCCGAGTTAAGTGCAGAAAACCGACAGCACCTCTCAAGATGACTCGAACAATACGAACAGTTTCGCGAGTCCGGATCGGGCAACAGACCGATTTCAGAGCTCTGGATTCAACAGACAAACGCGACTGATGATTCTGAATCAGATTCTGTACGTATCAGCTCTGTAGCTGTCCTGTAGCTCGAGTTAAGTACAGAAAACCGAGAGCGTCTGTCAAGATGACTCGAATAATACAAATAGGTTTGCGGACCTAGCTCGGCTAACAGACCGAGTTCAGACCTCTAGTTGGAACAGCCGAACGCGCCTGATCAGTCTGAATCGATAACGTGTGCTTACCAGCTCTGTAGCTGTCCTATATCTCGAGTTAAGTTCAGTATACCGACAGCGCGAATCAAGATGACTCGAAACGGCCGATCCCGCCGGAGTGCTTTTTGGCAGTAAAAGGTACCGGATCGAGGCGAGATCAAGATGGCGAGCGGGAATCAGATCGAATATCATGGGAAAAAATACTAGAGCTCTAACGAATGGTTGAATTTCGAGAACAAAATTTTCAACCGACCAAAAGTCACCAAAAGGTCCGTCGAGATTTTTCTTGCCAACTAGCTCTCCAGCGCCCCGGAATTACTCTTCAGCTTCCAGCAATAACTTGCTAAGGGAAGCTCTACGAGTTACTCTGGGGAAGATCCCCAAAACTCGGGGGGGGGGAAGAGAAAAAAAAAAAAAAAAAAAAAAAAAAAAAAAAAAAGTTTTATGTTTTTATCGAAAGACAGTTCCGCCAAGTGTTTTGATAGCAATACTGCCCCTACGGGCATTAGAATTCATTGGCGAACACGAAATAGGCCACTACAGGTGCGAAAAATACCAATTCTCAAAATGAATATTCAAATCTCTCAGAAAGTTTGTCCAACCGACCCAACGTTCGCACATTGTCCGTCGGGGCCGGGTCGGCCAACCGGGCGCCGGCGGTAAACCGTCAACCTTGGTTACCGCCGGGAGACTCGTAGAGCTGCCTAGCTCGACTTAAGTTGAGAAAACCGACAGCACCTACCAACATTCCGACTCATAGTGAATATTTTTTGACCTCTGAATGCGACAGGCGGACGCGTCTGATGTCTGCGAATCGACTCCTGTCATTACCAGCCCTGCAGCCCCCCTACAGCCCGAGTTAAGTGCAGAAAACCGACAGCACCTCTCAGGATGACTCGAACAATACAGTAGTTTCGCGGACCTAATTCGGGCAGCAGACCGAGTTCCGAGCTCTGAATTCGACAGGCGGACGCGCCTGATGTCTTCAAATCGATGCCTATGACCACCAGCACTGTAGCCCCCTCAGCGCGAGTTGAGTGAAGAAAACCGAGAGCACATTTCAAGATGACTCGACCAATACGA